AGAACAGGAACCTGCTATAAAACAGCAATTATGCTGAGTCAGGCTTGATTTTTAATAATCTTTTCCTGTTAAATAAATAAATCAAATCAAATCAATTTTATTACAAGCACACACTGGAGAAAAAAAGCTTTGACAAAAAATCTATGCATGCTTTCTTGATAAATGTGCTGTTATCTTTAATAAATTCCCAATTGTACTTAAAATCAGAAGACAATGGTGTTACTACAAAGGTAGTCGTGAACCAGACAAATCTAATTACACCAACTGTACATGAAGTAATGTCTACAACAAAGGTCAAAAAGTGCAATCCAGGATCAGATTTCCCAACATCTACCCTTTACAACATCAAACAGATGGAACAATATGAGTTGACTGTGAAAATGTGAAACAAGTGTTAAACTAAGCACAGCGGTGCATTAAAGCAGTTTGAGTTTGAACACATTAGTCCCACAGTGAAGACTAAAAGTAATGACACAGAATCAAGATGCTTCATTCTCTGTTTGTTTGTGTGACCAGGACCACCACCCCATCTCACACATTAGTCTTCTTCCTTTCCTCCTTGAGAGCTTTGCCCCATCTCTGTACCTCCCTGTTGGCATGACTCCATCATGGCCTCAGTCGCCACTCCTGCTTACCCCTCTCGGCCCCTCACACAGATATACACACTTTCCCACACACAGCGCACATTTCACACATGCAGATGCTATCTCTCTCCCCCCACCCAACCCACTACTGGGGTCCCCCTAAGCCTGAGGAAAATGGCCGTCACGGAACCCTGCTAACGGAAGGCCTCCCCCTCAACCACAAACCAGGAGTAAGGAGCAAGAGAACGTGCACAATTCTATTACTGCTGCAATACTAGCTGATGGAGGGAGCAAGGGAAGAGAAGGGGGAGAGGGAAGGATGAGGGTTGTTGAACGGGGGGACTGCGGTGTGAGCATCTACCCACAGAACACTCTCCCACATGTGGAGTCAATTAGGAACAATCTTGTTTTCTCCCGACCGCTGCAAAAGAAGGGAGTTTTTTTTTTTTTTTTTTTGGGGGGGGTGCTGTGTGTGTGAGTGTACATATAAGTGTGTGTGGTAGGAAAGGGAGTTGAGGAAACANGGGGGGGTGCTGTGTGTGTGAGTGTACATATAAGTGTGTGTGGTAGGAAAGGGAGTTGAGGAAACATGTTTTTCTGAAAACGTGCCAAAGAAACAGGCCGGATATATGGTTTTCTATCAAGCCATTTTACGTACAAAGAGTCTGCAGCTCAGCATGTCTGTCTGTTGTTCATTCTTAAATAAGCATGACGGGAGAAACTTGTCACTAGATTTCTACTAAAGTGCAGGAAAAACAACAGCACTCAAAGATTCAGCATGCATGGATGATGGAAACGCCTCAGGGGTGTGTGAGCGTCTGGATATTGTTCTACATCCTCACGCCTATCACTGAAATGCTCATCTGGTTAGATAGAAACATCACTACTGGGAAAGCCTAGTCACCCATACACGAGAAACCAAGCCACGTCTTTGATATGAAACAATACGAAGTCTTTTCTTTGAAAGATTCATGGTTGGTTCAATTATGTTTCCCCTTTCAAACTGTTGTGTTTAGACAGTTTTTATTATTCATCCATTTCAAGATTGATGACTTCAAGTTGGGTGGGCAGTGTTGCATAAACAAGGGTCTACACTGCTGCTGATTTATCTGGGCAAGATCAAAATGCCATGCACAAAACAAAGCTTCCTTGTTTACTTCACAAGAATTGAAAAGTGAATGAGTTAATATTTTAGGGGGTTAATGAAATCTCAAAATATTTTGTTTGATTTTTGCAAAATGTGGAGGAAGGGGACCTCCTGACAGAAAGCTCACCACAAATTTAAGTCCCTATAAAACTGGGCCTGAGACACCTGTGAAAAGACCAAAGGGCAATGAGGAGGCATCAATAATTCACTAGTGACACACCTGAGTCTGCAACAAAAGTAAGCAGAGCTTAGTTGGTGAATATGTATGAAATGGGTGTCTGCATGTGCAGCTATGGTTGGGTCAGCCATACAACACACCAAGGTATCTAAAAATACAAACAACATTGCTTTTATCAAAATCTCCTGCAAGTTTTATGCCTGCCAGTTTTGATGTTGTAAAATGCAGCACGTAACATTAGGTAAATCTGTGTATTTGATTTTGATGGACGCACTTCCTGATGGTGGTCAGAGGGCCCGGTGGCACCTGTGAATAGCAGCCTCGCTTCTGTCAATCTGACCAAGGCAGCTGTGGCTAAAATGTAGCTTACCATCATCAGTGTGTGAATGTGTGTATGAATGTGTGAATGACTGATTGTAGTGTAAAGCACTTTAGAGTTCTTGGACTTCATAAAGCGCTATGTAAGTGCAGTCCATTTAACATTTCTGTACAACTTCTTTTAGTACCATTCCTGTTATGTGGAGGTACAATTTTCTATGAGTGATGAGCATTGGCAACTGAATTTGGCCCCAACTACAGAGAATTTGGAAACCTGAAATAAACCCTATTCAGACCTGATAAAAATAACACATTGGTAAAATTCATTAAGAAATGAATACTGACCAACAATGCAAGCACACACACAGAACTAAGGTTAATAAAATTGTCAAATAATCAAACATGTTTTTGCTTGGAATTCATCTCTGACATTTACAAGTATCAAAAGCCAAACTATACATATGAAAATCATATTTCCATATTTTAGGCAAATGTCTGTCATATAACTAATTAGGACCGTTCATTCTTCTGCTCAGCAAAAACCCAAACTACTGCTTTCTCAAGAGGACAGCCAAGGTTTCTGAATCATACATGAAAAGATTCAGGGTAAAGGTAAGTGAAACATTTATCCAATTTTATGCTTTTTAAGAGCATGTTTGAAAATTAATTGTCGCAAAATCAATGTCCCTTTCAATTTAAAAGCATCAAATGTCTCAATTACTCTCAAAACCAGGCTATAAGGATTTGAAAAAAAGGAGGTTGTTTTAGAGTGATAGTACTGAGAGGTCTCTAACCCCCACTGTGTATTTGACCAAGGATAGCAGGATAATCCTTCTCAGGCAAAACACTGACCAGAAGGAACTAAAAAAGAAAATGGTCTCCTGTGTAAAAAAAAATGTATAGCATCTTTAACAGATGTGCTGTCTTGGTTTCATTATTGTGTCGGCAACAGTATACAGTTTTAATTTCAGGGGTCATCTTAAGATGATTTCACAAAGCAAGGCAAAGCAGATTATTGATGTGCAATTACATGTAAATCAATTTATCAAAGTCAATGCATTTCCAGTTTAATATGTCCGTATTCTGRTACAATCAAATTTTATATATCTGTATTTATATTGGACTCATTTGTAAAACGAAATTGTCAGGTTTCCTCCTCTTTGTTCTTCTGAAAACATAAGTGATTAGTGCTTGAATGAAAAAAAATTATTGTTAATAATTTCAAGTATATTGCTATACGTATATAGGCTTTCTGAATGAAAAAATGTCTTCTCACCAACTGAACATAGGCCACTTTATAGTCTGGGACCTTAGACTTCTGGTTCATATGGTTTCTCTTTTTGCTGCGCCCTGAAACACAAAAAAACACAAAGTTTAAGTACATTTGGCAATCAGAGAAATACAAACAAGAAAAAAAATCATTGTGTCCACCCACTGTGAAATAAAAATCATTATAAATGAGCTTCATTTTAAAATAATAATCTGACAGCATACTGTTCTATTTATTTAATGATACAGCTTGTCAACAATCAGATGCTACGCAAATAACTCGCCAAAAAAAGCTAAATTATCATATTGATTGCACAACAATTTCCGAATTATGTAGCAACTGTGTCATGTTCATTATACAGTTTGCACATGTACGAGTAAGAGGTTTAGTTTCTTGAATCAATGCGATTTTTTTGTTTGTGAGCACAATATACTTTATACAGGTATCTAAAAAGCTATATGACGATACCTGCTGTCAATAATAGATGATAGCACAGCATCTAGTAGTTTATTATAAGACGCTAACCTTAATMAGACCGTGGTGGTCAAGTCAACAGGCCTTTTGAGTAACCGCCATTGCCATGGGAACAGTTTATGACATGAAAAACAAGGGAAACATTCCGGTGTAATGACTCATTTTAGCATGCGCGTTTGTGTGTGTGTGTGTGTGTGTGTGTGTGTGTGTGTGTGGGGGGTCTTTTTAAGTACCAAATGATGGTGACAAATGTCAACTTCTGTGTTTGTAAGCAAGTGAAAGTTTATGTGTGTGTGTGTGTGTGTGTGTGTGTGTGTGTGTGTGTGTGTGTGTGTGTGTGTGTGTGTGT